ATATCCTGCAGGCTGGTGGGTTTGTTTGTTGTTATTAATGTTGTTAGGTGCTGTCAAGTCAATTCCAACTCATAGTGACCCCAGCGGACAGAATGGAACTGTCCCAGGGGGTTGTCTAGGCTGTCATCTTGGTGGAAGCAAATCCTCAGGTATTCCTTCCTCCAGCAGAGCCAGTGCTTGGGTCCGGACCACCAGCCCTTTGCTTGGCAGCCAAATGCTTAACCATTGTGCCACCAGGCCTCCTTGCTGGGTCCCCTGAGAGAGTGGAATTCCACATGGGGAGCAATGAGAGGGCACTGGAAAGAGTTTGAGCCAGAAGATTTGTTAGACTAAATGTTGAAAGAAAGGGTTAATGATGCCTACCTGAAAATAATCCTAATCCCACTGGGGAACTGGGATGCCCAGCACCTCCCCCCAAAAGAGAACTGCTTGAGAACGACACAATTCTTTTCACTAGCACATTGAGTGGCCTCGAAGCCCCAGGCACTGCAGTGAGGAAAGCAGTGGGCCAATATGCTCTCTTCCCTCTTTGATGTCTCAGATAATACAGCGTCTGTGTGATAATGTGACAGGTTGTGAAAACCAATTGCTGTGGAATCGACTCCAGCTCATGGTGACCCCAGATGTGTCAGAGTAAAACGGTTCTCCCCAGAGCTGTCAATGGCTGATTTTGGGGGGAAGTTAATAGCCAGGCCTTTCTTCTAATGATGGTGGCAAGATAAAATACTTTGTAGGGGGTCTGTGTCAAAATCATGTTCAGGGTGGGTACACATTTCAGAGTCTTCTGGTTCCAGGTAATGAAAATTCAGTAGCAGGTGACTTGGCACACCCAGAGAAGGTCCAGCGGGACCTTGATCTAGTTTCAATTCTTTTTTTTTTTTTTTTTTTGAGCCAAAGGTAAGGAACCTATGGGGAAATGGAGAGGGGGACATGGAGCAAGATGGAGGAAGTGATGACACAGGAAGGAAGGTGACAGGATGCACAAGAAATGTTCCAGAGGAAACAGGAGGGGACAGGACCACAGGTGGATTCATACAGTACAGTAGGTAGTCTAGCAAAGGAGAAGAAATGCATTTTTGTTTTCAGCATTGACATGCGATGGAGTGTGCATGTATGAAGTGTACAGTCTGAGAAGTTTTGGCATATATATGTACCTGGGGAACCATTACCCTTATCAAAATGATGTTTTCTCATGTCCCTTTTGAAACTCTCCCTCCCCTTCTCTACTTTTCCCAGGCAAACCCTGATCTGCTTCTTTGACATTAGCTTAGTTTGCAGTTTCTAAAGTTCTATATAAACGGAGTGAAACATCATGGGCTCTTTTTTTTCTGGTTTCTGCCCCTCAGCCTCATTATTCTGAGGTTCCTCTACATCATCACCTGTACCAGTGGTTTACTTTTTCATTGCTGAGTAGTTTTCCATTGTATGGACACCACCATGAGGTTATCCTTTTACTCATGGATGAGTATTTGGGTTGCTTCAAGCTTTGGGTGATTGCAAAGAAAGCTGCTGGGAAATACAACTGTACTGAATTTTTCAAGCAGAAGAAAAGCAAGAGCAAGTAACTGTGCAAGGAGACAGAAAGAACATGTGAGAGTTCATTCTCTCTCATTGCTGACTCCATCTGGTCGCTCCAGCTCCTGGCAGCCCCATGTATAATGGAATAAAATATTGTCCATTGCTGCACCATCCCATGACCAGTTGCAGATCAACTGGTCTCATTGGCTGCATTTTCTAAAGGAGGTTGCCAGGCCTTACTTCCTCATCTGTCTTACTTCAGAAACTCCATTGAAACATGTCCACCATAGGCGACCCTGCTGGTATTTGACATATTGGTGATGTAGCTTCCAGCATCCAGGCAACACAGAAACCACCACAGTGTGACAGATAACAAAATGGCTGGTGGTTGACACCCGTCTGTATCCATCGAATGAGATGGGTTGACACGGTATCTGCAAAACAAGGGTTTCAAATATAGCAACATTCATGAGGACGGTGCAGGGCCAGGCAAAACTTTGTTCTGTTATATGTAAGGTCACTGTGCATTGGAGCCAGCACAAAGGCAACTAACAACATAATTGTAAAATACCTATGTCTATATCCCGTTGTTGCTGTTTGCCAGCAAGTTGATTCTGACTCATAGTGACCCTATAGGGTTGTCCAGGCTGTATTGTTTACAGAAGCAGATCACCAAGCTACTGGATGAATTTGAACCACCAAC